ATGCTAGCCTTGTTGGGGTGAGATGGTATCTCATGGTAATTTTGATTTGCATTTCTCTAATGGCTAATGATTGTCAGCATTTCCTCATGTGTCTGTTAGCCACCTAGAATGTCTTCTTTGGTGAACTACCTGTTCATATCCTTTGCCCATTTTTAATTGGATTGTCTTTTCATTGTTGACGTGTTGTAGTATCTTGTAGATTTAACAGATTAGATGCTGATCGGATTTGTTGTGGCCAAAATTTTTTTCCCAGTCTGTAGGTTGTCTTTTTACTCTTTTGGTGAAGTCTTTTGATGAGCATAAGTATTTGATTTTTTTAGGCGTTCCCAGTTATCTAGTTTCTCTTCTGGTGTTTGTGCATTGTTACTTATGGTTTGTATTCTGTTTATACCATGTATTAGGGCTACTAGCATTGTCCCTATTTTTTCTTCCATAATCTTTATCATTTTTGATTTTATATTTATGTCTTTGATCCATTTTGAGTTAGTTTTTGTGCATGGTGTGAAGTATGGGTCTTGTTTCAGTTTTTTGCAGATGGATATCCAGTTATGCCAGCACGATTTGATAGACTGTCTTTTCCCCAGTTAATAGACTTTGGGCCTTTGTCAAATATCAGCTGCTCACAGGTGGATGAATTTATGTCTGGATTCTCAAATCTGTTCCACTGGTGTATGTATGTGTTGCTGTACCAGTACCAGGCTGTTTTGACTACCGTGGCAGTATAATAGGTTCTAAAATCAGGTAGTGTGAGGCCTCCCACTTTGTTCTTCCTCTTGTAATACTTTACTTATTCAGGGCCTCTTCCTTTTCCATATAAAGTTGGTGATTTGTTTCTCCATCTCATTAAAAAATGCCGTTGGAATTTGGATAGGGATTGCATTATATCTGTAGATCGCTTTGGGTAGAATTGACATTTTCACAATGTTGAGTCTTCTTATCCATGAGCAAGGTATGTTTTTCCATTTATGCAGGTCTCTTTTGGTTTCTTGCAGTAGTGTCTTGTAGTTTTCATTGTATAGATCTTTTGTCTCTGGTTAGATTTATTCCTAAGTATTTTATCTTCTTTGGTGCTATCGTAAATGGTATTGATTTGGTGATTTCCTCTTCCAAGTTCTCTTTGTTGGTGTAGAGGAATCCAACTGATTTTTGTTATATTTATCTTGTCTCCTGAAACTTTGCTGAAATCTTCTAGTAGTTTTCTTGAGGATTCTTTGGGGTTTTCTGTGTATAAGATCATATCATCTGCAAATAGAGATACTTTTACTTCTTCCTTACCAATTTGGATGCCGTTTATTTCTTTTTCTAGACTAATTGCTCTGGCAAGGACAATGTTGAATAAGAGTTGTGATAAATGTCATCCTTGTCTGGTTCCTGTTCTCAAGGGGAATGCTTTCAAACTCTCCATTTAAGATGATGTTGGCTGTTGGCTTTGTATAAATGCCCTTAATTATGTTGAGGAATTTCTCTTCTGTTTCTATTTCACTGAGAGTTTTTTATCATGAAGGGGTGTTGAACTTTGTCAAATGCCTTTTTTGCATTAGTTGATAAGATCATGTGGTTCTTGTCATTTG